TCGTTGAGAATAATAAATAATTAATATTATTGATGTACTAATCGTGGTTCTAGTTGTCAATAAAATGATGCATATGCAACTAACAATACAAGAAAGTAATATTAGTTGCCTAAATGTCAGTAATGTTTAAGCAAAACACAATTTTAGTCAAAATTAGAAAATATTATGTATGTAACACGTTACGAAATGCCATTTTATGTAACTCGTTCGTGTTGCTTGATCTCACTCTGCGTCACGCAAATATTCACTCGTTATATAAAATAAGGCATTTTGTAACTGGTTTCATAAATATAGCTATTGTATACATTTTGTTGGTCTACAGTTGACATTTAAAAATAAGTTGTCTTTGAATGGAGTATATTTATTATAAAAAATAGACTGTTCCACACAAATTCTTCTTTTTTTTTAATAATATATGGAGTAGGTAGACATTTAAAATAGTAGTTTGTGCAACAAGAGTGGATATGATGGTCATATCGCACGAAGGCGAGGTTTGAATACGACGCCGTGGGCAGACAGAATTGAGCGTCGTGTGCGGTAAGCTGTAAGCTCTCGAAAAATTTTTGCCACATTTTACACGTTTTCTTCTGTTTTTAAGATCCCGAATGTTGCTTGTTTTCTACCGACTCATTTTCGCTTTTAAATCGCACATAGTATAAAAAAAATACACTGCACCGCAAAATTAACCAGACACGTGAAATTTTAAAGTTTTCTCCTTTTAGTTTTGTTGAATTGCCCTGTATAATAATTAAAATTATATATCAAAATATGTTGCCTTTATCCATTCGTTTTTTAAAAGTTTGTCATTTTTTGTGGCTGAAAAGAAAGTTTTGTGTTAAGGTGTTCTCGATAATCGAATATTTACTTACAAAATAATGCTAGTTAAATTGATTGTATGCCCTTTTGGTGGGTGGTTGGCTGCTTTTTCGGGAAAGAAAAGTGATTTTATCAAGAATAATTTAAAATGAGGCCAGATCAAGTAGTGCAAGCCTTACATAATGATGGTCGTTCCATTCGTTATATCGAAGAAATGCTTGGTGTTCCGCGAAGTACGATATCTGATGCTTTACGAAGATTTGGAGAAAATGTTTCTTACTCTAGAAGACCTGGACAGGGAAGACCAAGGGTAACAAACGCCGTTGAAGATCGATTTCTGAGATTTCAAGTGCTTCGAGAGAGGATAGTTACTGCTACAGCTTTGACCAGGAGACTGGCAGATGTTCATGGAACCGTAGTTTCACCTGATACTGTACTCAGAAGATTAAGCGAACAAAATTTATCGTCTTATGTACCTGCCACAGGCCCTTTACTGGATGCAGCTCATTAAAGACAACGCTTAGAATTTTTTTGTGCTCATGCAGATTGAAATATGGAAGATTGGCGAAATGTTTTTTTTTACAGATGAGTCTTGTTTGACGAGATACTCACCTGATGGTCAACAAAGAGTATGTAGGAGGCCTGGAGAACGCTATGACCAATGTTGTTTCTCTCCTAGAGTATAGTTTGGTGGTGGAGGTGCAATGGTATGGGGCGGCATTTCTTTGGAAGCACATACAGATCTTGTTATGTTAGGGGAAGCTGGCCTTAATGCTGATAGGTCAAAGACATTACAACTAAGAGACCAAATTGTTTACATTTTTATGTGGCAAATCATTATTCCCACCAGATTCTCGTTTTGCGTCTTTGCCGGTAAAAATTATTTGGACAAATTACTTTCGAAGAATAAAATTTAATGTATCTTATAACTATAATTTTATATTATAAAAATAAAAATATGTTGTTAATCAAATTATTCTTTAAAGTTTTAATATAAGCTAAAATTTTTTATTAAAAATCAATATTAATCTAAACAAAATATTAGGGTTGCAAAGAACTCCGTAAATACGGCAACGCTGAATATCTTATTTTACGAATTTACAACTTTTATGAATGAAATGTAGTTATCGTAACCAGCCGCAACGTTGCTAATCGGGTCTAACAGCTATTTTGTATTTCTGACAGTTTCTAACAGTTTCTGTGTGACGCAAAGAAAATTTTACGTAAAACGAAGAATACCTTAAAAATGATTTACCTATTAGGCACCTATACATATTTTTTAATATTCTATTTAGGTTTCTGCAAGATCTTGAGAAAAGAAAACTTTGGTTTTATCTAGTGGGGATCCTTAAAAATGAGCCCCTTCGTAAAAACCCAGAGTACTGTTCAGAACACTTTTTCCTGAAGATGTTTTGGTACGTACAAATGGTGCTAAATATATCAGAAAAGATGCAAACCCCAGACGGTGCGAGGGCTTTCTAATTTTGGATGACTTATCCAACAGGTAAAAATACAAAATATAATTTTTTTGTTTACCTCTAAACATTATTTATTAGCTATATGTATGTATATCTAATGTATGGGTTTTTAGTTCTGATTCAACTGTTTTTGGAACACCACCTGCTGCAAAAAAAACATTGCAGTAAGTAATAACATTAATAACTAAGCATAACAAAATTAAATGAAATTTAAGTTAATAAAATTAAAGTATTTAATATATTTAAAACGTTATTTTAAAAAATTTTACAGTTTTTTTACGATATTTTTTGCCATATTATGTTTTTTGTAATTATTAATTAAAAAATTATAGGACAGTGTTTTATTCAGATACCCCTACCTACTTAATGTTAATTTAAAATTTTAAATAATTTTGGTTTACATCATACCAGGCAAATAGTAGAAGAACCGATAATTGGAACAATCTCTTGGGGCTGAGACAGGCCAAGATACTTCTGGGTGAATATAACCAGAAAAGATCGGAAGCCTGCATTGGCCTGAGCAAGAACAGGCTACGTATTGTAACAGGGATCCTTACCGGGCATTGCCGACTAAAAGGTCGTCTAAGTAAACTGAAAGTAGTAGATAGTGAGTGCAGATTCTGTGAGGAGGAGGAGGAGGACGAAACCTCCATTCACAACCTAACTGAATGTGTAGCACTCCAGAATCTAAGGGCACTATATCTAGGAGGATATCAAATAGCCACTTCAGATCCTACACTTCCTTGAGAAAATAGGATTGGAAGGGTCCTTATAGGCATTGAGACATTTCCTTGGTGCATTGGCGACAGAAGGGGGCCAAATAGATCTTTTAGGTCGCAGTGTATTAACCCATTCCCAGCATAACATAACCAGGCAAATATATAGTAAATACCAATAAACTATAAACCAATAAACATTAAAAATCGGAAGGTAACTTGAATTTTCTTGTATTTGAATTTACTAGTATTTGAATTTACCTCATGAAAAAAATCATCATAATTATATTACTAAAAAAATATACTTACTTATTTACGTATTTTTTAACATACTATTCTGACAATACTGGTAAGTTTAAAACTACGCCACTGGTGAGCATATTATGGACACTGTTTACAACGTTGCCAGCCGGTCCTAAGAGATCTGTCTTTCTCTCTTCCACTCACTAACAATTTTAAAACAATAACAGTCCGTAATTGTATGGGATTTATGAATGAAACATTTTGTCTCTATGTTGTAATGTCTTTGTGATAGGTACATTAGGGAATGTCTGGAAGAACATGTGGTACCTTATATGTATTTTTTAGGTGAAAATTTTGTTCTAATGCCTGGCCTCCTAGAAGCCCAGACCTTAACCCCATAGAGCATTTGTGGGACAACTTGGGAAGAAGACAGACAAAATTATGGCGAGCTTGAAACTGTGATAGCGTTAGAACAGGCGCTTGTAAATGAGTGGGAACAAATACCGCAAAACGAGATTGCTGCTTTGGTCTAGACTATTCCAGAAAAGATGAGAGCTGTTATTCGAGCTCGAGGAGGGAATACTCGATTTTGATATCCAAATTTTAGAATTATTTTTTGATTTCAATCAGAAAAATACCCGTTAATTGTGTACTCCGGAATACAAAAATTTTATAAATTTTTATTTGTTGTTAAATTAATGATTTTGGAACTTGTTTTTTATTTTAGGGTTTGTTATTGAATATACAATAAAAAAAAATTTTGGAATAAGTTTTTCTAATACTTTTTAATTTTATTTAAAATACACTTAGTGTCCGGTTAATTTTGCGGTGCAGTGTATATTACAAATTTATAACAATATAGGATTGGCAAACGACAGACAAAAAATAAAAATATCCCAAAAATATATTTCGTTAATATTCGTTGATAATTAAAATGACCTATTACTAAAAACTATACGAAAATTGTGGTAAAATAATATAGTGTAGACATAAAGGGTTAGATAACACTCGTTACACGTTTGTAATGTTGGTTGCCTATTCTTGGCGTCTAATAATAATAATAATAATAATAATTGTCAAGCAATGGAAAATAAAAATTTAAATTCATTATTGTGGGCTTGATTATTTCTTATTAATATTATTATGCAATGATAGCAATACTAAATAAAGCAATTCATTTTTAAAAGAGCAGCTTATTGTATATCCCTATCATCTATCTTTATTCCTTCTTAAAAATTAACTTATAGGTACCTACCTACCTAATTATATTTTATTTACAATCTTATGCAGGAGGGATATTAATATATTTTTTAATTTAAATTTCCTAAACAATTAAGCCATTGATGCAAAAAAGAACATTGTTAAGAAGTTAAACCTGCTTTCCCTTTGTTTTTATCCGTAGATAATTTTTAAATTGATATTTGAGCCAAATTCAGAGATGCATTTTTTAATGACCATAAATAATTAATTTTATTAAATCTCTTCAATCGAAAGACTATCTAGATTTTATAATAGTAAAAAATAACCGAATATAACGAAAAGTCGTCAATTATTAAAAAAATGGAATCTATGCAAATATATCACCATTTTTCCCAAAGTTCTTTCTTATTATCGAAAAATATACAGCAATCCTTGTAAGAACACACTCTCAATGTTGATAAAGTGTAACCAATCAGCCGGACATTTTGGGAACCGCAGATCTAATCCAGACTTAAGTAATTTGGGTGGGGGGTAGGGGAGTGCTCCCGTGGGAGTCTGGAGAGGTGGCAGCGATGCTTGATCGAGCGTCGGGACGCGCTTGTAGCTACTAGGACAGCGTCAACCTCCGATCGTCCTCAGGCACAGGTAGGTGAAGTGATTTTTTTTTTTATAAAAAAGTGAGATTTTTCCAAAAAAAAATCATATAAAAAAACGTGATATCGTGGCTATATTTTTAGGAAGTGAAAATTGTGTTATTTTTACCACGCTATTTTAGTGTATAGTACAGTGAAAATACCTTAAAAATGGAATATACTTAACTATTAAACCATGGAAGGTAAGCATATTATTTTTGATTGAGATATCACACAACACTTCACACGATATATCAATTTTTGGGGTATTTTCACACTAAATTGTAGGCGCCATATTTAACCACCTGTATAACCTTACTTTGATTTGCTTGTGCTATTTTTAAGTCATATCGTGTATCGAGAGTGGGAGCAGCGTTATAGACATTTCTAATTCAGGTTACGGGATTTTTTTAGATTTTTTTATGTAATAATTTAGAAAAAAATTATTTCACAAAAATATGCTTGCTACATGAATTAAATACTTTGCTTTTGCGGTGACTTATTTGGGAATATTTTTGACTTTAGTATATTTAATAGAATTAGGTCCAATTCAAAACCACATAAAAAATACATTTAAGCCTATGGGTAATCTTTCATACTTTATTTATTTTCAATCGTTGTAAATGATTGTAACAGAAATAATGGCAATGAGAAGGAGGTTGATTTTTTAAAATTTTAGTATATTTTCATAAAACCGATCTAAATTTTGAGCTCTAGCTAGTCTAGTTACAGTAAATTAAAAAGGACAACAATTCTTGGAAAGTCTACTGACATCATCTTACCAATACATGCATTTAAAAACCAACCTAGAGTCTAGGATATTATGCAACAGTATTTTAGACTGAGATAACATTTAAACATAAATAAATATGAAGCAAACTCAGTGCAATTTACTAAGAAAGCCAATTAGTTCTAAGGACTAGAAATAATAATACTAATGATGAAAGCAGATTGCTCAAACTTTAACCAACGTATCGTGAGTTCGATTCTCGATGAGTGGTGTATGACGGGTTACGAAATTAATAAATGAATGATTAATAATCTTCAATAGTGTGGCGGGTTGTGATTGTACATGAAGACGTAGTAATGCCAATAGAGCTGATCTTTGGCCACTCTTGGTGACCTGAACAGACTTGTACAAAGAACAAAGGTGACAGATTAGATACTATGAATTCTTGATTGTTTCGACCTGTACTTGATAAAAATACTTATTGTTTAAATAAGAAAAAACCATCTTGGTTGATTTTCACAAACACTTTTATTAAAAAATAAATTAAAATTAAAAAATTCTTCTAGACAAATGTATCGAAATACAACTTCGTTTCAAATGTGATTAATTTACATTTTGGTGTCTACTGTATATACAAAGTGAACTAACCTAGTATTAGTACTATCTGAATTTTTAAATCTATTTATTTCAAGAGTCTCTAATATTTTAATCTAATGCTCTTATTCTCTATATGTAAAATCTTAAAATTTTCTATAAAAGAATGATTTTCAGACAAAATATGATTTGAAAAGGTAGAATTATTGTATTTGTAATGTTCTGAATAGTGTTTTTTGAAAGTACGGCCCGTTTGACCAATATACAATTTTGCACAACTACCACAATTTTTATAGAAGAAATCCTAAATTTGTTAAACATTTGCTTAAAACAAAATTATTTTCAACATCTACTCAGCAGATGAAGTTCTTATTATGGGGAACACATTGAGTTCGTTACTTGCAAAAATTCACACCAATAATTTTAGTAAACTTTGCCGTTATTGGCATATATATGTTGACGACATATTGACTGCTTTTACTGGTACTAGTAGACAGTTAAATTTTTTATGACTTTTTATCAATACTATATAACCTAATATTAAATTTACTATGGAAATAGAGAAGGACAGTTCAATAAATTTTTCATATTTAAATATCATTAAAATTAATAAATCCTATGGTTATGTAATATTTCGTAAACCGCATAACTTACTGATATTACAATACATAATAGTTCACATAATTCATAAAAACAAAAGTTAGCAGCATATAACGGTATGATCCCTAGATTAGTTATTATCCCAATTACCAAACAAAATTTCACAAAATAATTAAATATCATTAAATAAATTGCAGTAAACAATAGTTTTCATTCAAAGTTAGTAGACAAAATTTTAGAGAAAAAACTTTTTAAGCATGCTATTCCACAAGTTTATCCCATAAATAAAAATCAAAATTGTACATTACAATTATAATACATATTATTAAAAACAAAAATAATTATACCTTTTCAAATCATATTTAAACTGAAAATCATTCTTTTGTAGAGCATTTTGAGATTTTATGTATAGAGAATAAGGGTATTAAATTAAACCATTTAGAGACACTTGAAATAAATAGATTACAAATTCAGGTAACCTATTAAATGGTCAATTATTTAAGTACTGGTACTAGTTGATTTTACTTTATACGAGGATGGTCTGAAAAGTTTCCGACCTGAACGTGAAGATGGCAGCACTTGCAATAAAAACTAGATAATGCGATTGCACATCTTTTGACTGGTACTAACAAAACATTTTAGACTTTTAGTTGTTATTTGACAATTGGTTGAGTCAGTCGATGTAAGTGTTTTTCTGAAATAGAAAAAATCGAGTATCGAGCTGTAAGTAAATATTTATTTTTTAAAGTCAATACGCCTACACAAATCAAAGAAGAGTTGGAGCCTGTGTACGTGGACTCTGCACCATCATTTACCACCGTTAAATTTTGGGCAGGTGAATTTAAACGTGGCCGTACCAGCTTGGGAAAAGATGAACGTTCGGGATGTCCAAAAACTGTAACCGCTAACGATAACAGCGCTAAAGTTCACCAAATGGTGCTAAACAACCGCCGAATTAAAGTGAAAGAGATAGTAGAGGCTATGAGTATGTCCAAAGAACGTTTTTGTCACGTATTGAATCAGGATTTAGATATGAGAAAGCTGTTTACTCACGTTAGACCAAAAATGTGTTCGGATGAACATTTTCAAGGCTCTGTTGGCGCAGTTTAGGCGCAATAACTCAGAATTTTTGCACCGAATAATTACCTACTATAGATGAAACACCATTATACCCCTGAAACAAAAATACAGTCAAAACAGTGGACAGTGAAAAGGGAATAGGCTTCAAGAAAAGTTTGTTCGGCTGGGAAAGTGAAGACGTCTGTTTTTTGGAATAGACGTGGAGTTATCTTAATCGATTATCTTTAAAAAGGAAAAACCATTACAGGAGCATACTACGCATCATTACTTGACAAGTTAAAGGCAGAAATTACGGAAAAATGGCCAAATTTAGAAGAAAAAAATTCTGTTTCACCAAGAGAACGTGCCGTCTCACACCTTAGCGATTGTCTTGGCAAAAATTCACGACTTACAGTTTGAACTGCTTGTCCACCCTCCTTACTTACCAGATCTAGCCCCAAGTGACTTCTTTTTATTCCCTAATCTAAAAATTGCGCTCGGTTGGAAGATTTTCGTGCCTAAACAATTATTATTTTGCACAGAAAGAGTACTATTTAGACGGCTAAAAGAGATGGGAGCATCGCTGTGTGTAGACCTACAAGGAGACTATGTAGAAACATAAAAATAAATTTAAAGAAAAAATGTCTTGTACCTTTGTTAGGTCGGAAACTTTTCAGACCATCCTCGTATTTTAGGCATCGAAATGTAAATTAGTCACATTTGAAGAAGTTGTAATTTTTTAATTTTAATTTTTAATTTTTTTTTTAATAAAAGTGTTCGTGAAAATCTACCAAGTTTGGTTTTTCTCATTTAAATACTATGAATTAATATGGGATAAAACGCAATACGTCATTAGCAGCCCGCAGTGTTATCGAAGACTGTTAAATGAGCGCAGGAAAAAAATGTGTAACCGTTTTTGGGAAGCACTCAAAAAATGAATTATTGCCAACGTTTGCCAATTTTTATAACCCAATTGAAATGCCTGCTGGAAATACAAAATTGGGACAGAAATAATACATCGAGTTTTTATTAGAACAAATCGACATACTTATTATGTAATTTGTGCAATGTAACGAGCAAATTTAGTTATTTTCACGTAAAAACGCCAACAGCTGTATCAACAGATTGAAATTTTAAACCGAAATATCATCAGATATCAGCACGAATCCCAGAGAGCCAGGAGCGTCTAAATTTAGGTTGTTCTTACTTTAGATCCTCGGTTTAGATCGTCCGACTTGTGGAATTCTTACGATTTTAAAATGATCCGTATTTTATTTTGCGACATTCGTAGGCGACAATTATTAATAAGTAATAATTCAATTAGTTTTTTAAAACGACAATACAATTTTAATTAATGTATTAATTATAAAAATAGGATTGTTTATATTGGTAATATTTTATCTTTCCTACGTTGGTTATACAGTGTGTAGCCAAATGTATTAAATTTAGTAGAATTCAATAGAAAGTATGTATACCCTATAAACCATATGCAACTACGCCTATAAGCACATATGATGGCAGACATAATTACGATGGTTGTTTATAAATTTAAAATACTAAAAATTTAACAAATTTCTAATGTAGTTGAAAATTAAAAGACTAAAATATTTATTTAAAAAATGTAGTCCCTTAGTTTAACTAAGAACTATAACATTAAAGACTATTTATTAATCAATTAATTAATTCGGTTTGAAAAAGTTTTAATTAACAGTTAGAACATCCAAATTATTAACAAATTATTTTAGGAACCAAAATTATATGAACCATTCAATCACGTGATGATTAATCATCCCTGACTGAACGTTGACTACCACTTCTGTCAGATTAATCAGATTGGCGCTGAAGTGACATGCTCCTTCCCATCGAGATAGAATAAAGTAGAGACGACATAAACACTATTTTACGGTATGACAGAGGCACTTCGAGTGAAGGAAAAGTGTAATGAAAATGGCGACTTGAGTCGTACTTTGATGGTGCTTTCATTTTAAAACCAGTCAGTCGAAATAACTTTTGATTTAACGTAAATTTAA